TTTGACATATTTGACCCCTGTGACCTCTTCATTATTCAGAAGAAGTTGTTTAAAGGAAATTCATCTGACACCGAACGGATGAACGATAGATGCCACGCCATTGCATAAGCTCGCTAGCCCTTTAGGAAGTTTAGCTAAAAAATTCACACCCAACTGACCAGGTGAGATTTTAACAGTGACTTTGTTTTGACCCTCTAAAGTTGAACTATTAACTATGAAATTTTGTATACCATTAAAAGCAGTTTCTAATTAAGGGATCTTGATTATACCTTTTAAGTCATGCATATCCCTTGCCATGACTTCCTGCTTTGTTGCCATGACCTCCTGCTTGTTGGAAACTTCACTGATGTTTGTTGCCATGACCTCCTGTCTAGCTGTAAGATAAATGCAACACAGAATAAGACTTTGTCAGAAGATATATTTAAATCAGCTACAGTGGAAAATATCAACATCTTAGGCAATCTGATGATGGTGGTGGGCAAAACATTTGAAGATAGATTTAGACATTAATTTGACTTCCAATTTGGAAAATGAAAAAGACAAAATTAATGATGGTGTTTATTCAGTCAGCTAGTACTGCCACAGGGAAAAGTGATTTAAGCCATCATGTGATGGTGGGCCAATATACATTAATATTACATTTCATTAGATTTTTTAAATCTCATTTTAAAAATCTTGACAGTGTCTGTCTGCTACAACTTCAGGAAATAGGTCTGTTTCTGTACCTCATCTGTATGCTTTTGTTAACAATATATTATGAGTAAAAATACTTAACAATAAGATTTCCTCAAATATTCACAAACAAGGGCAATTGTTTTTAAAAACAATGTAAAGTATACTGACCTTTGACCTCATGTACAATGGCCTTGACCTCCAAGTCCGCCTTGTGTTGTTTCTCTAGTTCCTCTATATAATATGTCTCTGCCTCAGGGTCCATGCTCACGGTCAGTAGATCATCCACAGCTGTTACGTATGTGTCACCTGTCAAAGCGTCCTTTTCTATTTCACACACGCTCTGACGGATGAGGTACCACCTACTATTGAAGTCTGAATCAGACAGTGATGCAGTCGACAGGTGTCCATAAGCTTCATTTCGCTGCACTCTTAACCGGTCAATATTAGCTGAAAGTGACCTGTCTGCTGGGTCTGGTGGCTTCCCCCAACCAGTCTGGTGTGGTGGAATATTGATACTCTGGAGGTTTCTTAGTAGTTTATATAGAAGTGTAAAGTCCAAGTCCTCCAGGGTACCTGAGAACACTCCACCTGAGGGATAAAGAATCTGTCGCTGACGATGTTCAAGATTTCTGCAAAGCTGAACTCTTTGACTTCCTAGAATGGCAGTAAGTCCTGGGGGTGGCACTTTGGCTTTGAGCACAGCTCTGAGAAGGTCACAAACTACATCAAGGACAAGTCTAGACAGTCGGGCGAAGTTAGTGGTTCCACTACTTGATGGATATTTCGAGGCCATTGCCGAAGCTGTTGTAGATAATTTGGGGAGAGGTAGATGCTGAAATAAAAGGAATACATTAGATTCTACATCTACATAGTTGTTAATAAAATCTAATGCCTGAATAAGTCACAGTACCAACTATTGAGTAAATATTCATGCTGACCACCCATATTAGTCATAAATTTGACAAGCTATGGCTAGTAACCATCAGAATGCTTAATTTGGTCAAATTACCCATTTTTTGCACTGCCTCTTTATTTGTACCATTAATAGCGGGCACTCTCAGCCAGTGCGAGCCGTTATAGCAACACATGTACGCAGAAAACAGCAGCATGCGTGACTGCATTGATGTTCTTTTTTGCACAAACAAATTTGACATTTTCAATGAACACCTAGTGTTTTTGTCGTATCTCTGGCAGATTGTTATGCTCAGAAACAATTCTACATGTTTTTTACAAGTCGATGTTACTGATGAAATCCTTCGATGTCCTACATATTATTTTGATATTTTCATTTTTTCTCGAACTGAAAACTGTTTCAATTTAGTACTTCGTTATTTGTCCTTAGCTTCAAATGACATCGGTTGATACTGATAAGTCCGTATATATATACCATTCCACGTATTTTGCTGTTTGTGAAAGGATGAATTGATGCCGACAACATGTTGTGACGCGACTGACGTCACTGTTGACACGCATCATCTTAGTGTTGACAATACTTACTGAAGTCAATCTGAATGTTTCTTCACCTTACAAAATTATTTTGGAGAAAAATATGCAGAAAATTCTCTTACAGTACATTAATAATTGTGTATATATACGTTTTTGTTACAATGTATGTGATTACTATTGGCATCAGAATTGCAGCATGTAATAAACAGTAAATTATACTTATGGATAGTATAAATTAATACACGTAGTTTCAAGAAGATCACCACATTTAAAGCCCTAGGTCATTTTTTTTCGTTAAATGTATTCATTATTGGCTATTACTGATATCAGTACATTACGGTACCATCTGAAGAAAGCAAACAGGAATGATTAATGCCAATAATTTTTTTTTTGACTCCATATAACCACTGATTTGAAACCTTCTTCTGATTTCTTTTGGCAATCCAGCAGTTCAATAAAAATGTTGCTAGATCATTTAAAATTCTGAAATGTTGATCAGGCATGATTACAAGTTATTAAAATCTATTCATTTTGTTGTCCAGTTCATATAAGAAAAGAAACAGAAAAGCTATATGGGTCTTATATTGTTACGATTGCCCAGCACTTCAAAAAAGACTGATTTTAATCAAAAAGGAATGTCCATTGATTTTAACTTGTTTCTCCGTGTAACCAAATCTTACTAAATATTGTATATCAATGTCTAAGATTTTAACATGTTTCTCCGTGTAACCAAAACTTACTAGATCTGAATTATATCAATATTTAAGATTATGCTATATTAGCTTAAAACTATGCCAATTTTTAATGTTTGCTATATTAGCATGTATGTTTATTAGGCACATGCCATTTAATTGATGAAACACTTTTGCATGAAACTTTATGCATTAATCTGTGATACTCTAAACTAAGCTAGGTAACTGTGATATAACTTTATATATTTAACTAGCACATGTATTTTACTAGCAAGATAACCATGTTTATATATATATATATTGATTGCGTAAATATGTTATTTTATCTAACACATGTATTTCACTAACAAGAGGACCAGCGGAAGATTTAAGCATTTGAATAAACATGTATTTTATCCTCAATAAATAAAGTTTACCATTATTAACATTATCATCTTGTTGTAGCTTTTTGTTTCCGATCTACGCACGCGTGTATAAAATCTAATTAACATAGATACTATAGATATGTTGCGATATCGATCTACGGCACACATATGTATATATATAATCTAATTATTTTATACATATATATATATATTAATTATTATCTAAAATACACAAACACTGCCTAACATAGATACTATTGATAGATATTACGATATCGATCTAACATTACGGCACAAAAAATATGTCACAAACATCAAACGAATTGCAACAGATATATATACATTTTTTGAATGTCTGTCTTTAAGAATATTACATAACAGATAGATATTTTACTTTAAAATTTGTCAAATAAGTTCATATTATGGAGCGTTGTGGACTTTTTGGGTGAAAAAGTTGGGGTGACCGTGTCATGGTTTTTTGGGGCGATATGAATCAAATTTGGGGCGTTACGGTTTTGGGGCGAATCATCTGCCACCCAGGCCAATTTACAGTCAAAATTTCGAACACCCTGTTGTGAGCAGACGTCAGATCTGCAGCCAGGTATACATACTGTGACCTACCAGAAAACAAATTTTTCCATCAGAAAATTGTTCGGTGTGATGAGATAATATCATACTCGTCATGTGTTTCCATTTAATCATTCATTCTGAAGTTCAGCAGTCCTTAAGAATCGAAAGTTTATCTCGGACAAAACAGGACATCTTCAGCAACCATGTAAACAAATAGTCTCGTTCAACCAGACGCTTCATCACTGTAATATCACTTCGGAACCACTCGGGAAAGGTCCCCAAGTAAATTGTACGCCAGCCCCGAACCAGCCAAGAAAACTGGTTCAGGCATAGGTGGTGGGCACGTCTATAAAAAAAAAAAAAAAAATGAATATATAAAACTAGATTTATATATTCATTTTTTTTTTTTTTTGGTAGACGGGCCCACCACCTATGGTTCAGGCATGTAAACGATTAATTTGAAAATTAAGGCAAAGCCTTAAAAGAGCGTAGCTTTTGTTGATCTCTATTATTTACTGATTAAGGACTTACCACCCTTCGTAATACACATGTTTTTCTTGTCGTATTTTCGTGTCGTCATTTCCGTATTGCGTATCGGGTATTCCATTACCATATACGGATAGTGTAAATTATGGTAACACAAGGTAAACAATAGTACGATGATATGTCAACACTCGATATCGAGACTTAACTTGGAAATATGTAATCACACGTACTTCAAAAATGAAGCTTATGATCAGAGACATTAATTAACTCACGGGAAGGCACTGACATAAGATCAGACGACTTCAGGAAGGTCGTATATGAGGCGCATGGAATTTAGACTGATGTGTTTTGTTTACCGACCTCACCTGTACGTATCACGTGCTAACAGTAGTTCAAAAGCTCTTGGTCGCTACGACTTTTGTTGTCGAACGAGTTACGCTCTGTCAGATAAATCGGTTCACAAATGCAATAACAATAACTCTGTGAAAAAAGTGGTTTGTAAAATATCAAGATTCCTATAAAATGCAAGTGCAGGTGCGTGCACGTAATAACAGCATACCATGCGATAGATTATGGTTACATATGTACCTGACATGTTAATATACCATGCGTAAGCGGGCTATGGAATGATGTCCAAAGTGTACATGATTGAGAGTAATATTATTCCATAAAAGAACAGTAAATTGACAATTAAATATAGTAATTTAATTAATCTCCGTCGTTTTTGGTACAGTAAAGAAAATAAGTGTCATTGTATAAATTCTATCCCTCTGCAAAAAGTTCCGATTTTTTTCAAGGTAGACCAGGATCAAAAAAATATTGTAAAATGTAAAATAAATTATTACTTAATAATAATTTTATAAAGACTTTGTGTGTATTAGGTTCAATTTTTCACTCTTTTTGTATGAAACTATGTGTCCTGTTTGCTTTTAGCTTGTATTTGGTAACTTTTATCCATACAATTTCAATAAAAAACGCTTTTTGTAACATGCTGTAGATATTCTATGATAAATAAAATATTTGTAGGGTTGATTAGCAATGTTTCTTTTCATTATTTTATTGTTGTTATAGTTTTGAACAATGCCACACGCTCAAAAAATGTGAAAGTGACGATAAGTCAAAGTAAATGTATAGAGATGTTAGTTAAAAAATGAAACTAAAAAATGAAAACATTGTAATACTTTGAAGTAACTGAAAATGTCTTGATATGGATATGTAGTCTCAAATTTTGTAACTGTCACCGAGGCTTGACAGGTAATGATGCCAAATAAATTTACAGTTTCTGTCTGTTACTAGTTATAAATCGGCACCCATTGTGAAAAACTAATACGTGACTGAAAAAGGGCGTTGCACTTGGGTTGATTGTCTGGAAAATTATTGTTAATTTCGTCATAAATGCATTTTCCATTGCTTCTTTTATGAGTGATGTATAAATAATGTAAAGACTATATCCAGACTTTCCAAAATGTCAATTATTTCGTTCATATTCTCAACAAATGGAAATCAAGCTGATGAAATTTTAAATGATCTCTTTTTTTAAGATATAAAAAAACAACAGAACCGGATTGATGACAAAAATGATCTTCAGAAAATATCCGCATTTTTACTTTTTGTACCTGTGGAAAAACTAAAATTAAAAAAAAGTCTTGAAACACCGACAAAGAGATAAATGCAACGGACATCAGTTCCAGGATTTTCCTGTTAATTTTCATTCTTCCGAAAATAACCGATGAAGGCCGATTGAGTGTGACGTGCTGGTGACGTCATAATATGATAATCTCTGAACGAAGTTTCATGCCTGTTAGTATCACATTTTATGTGATAAACTTTTTTACACTGTGTATATTATTACAAGTAATAAAACATGAAGATTGTTTTCACTATATGAAGATATTCATGTATCGGTTGAAACACAATTGTCTTTGCTTCAAGGATACACTTCCTGTTTCCCCATTGGACGTCTACTTCCGGACAAAAATAAATAAAGGCAAAGTGTTAGAAAGCGGAAGCAACTCTGTATACGCACGCATGTGTTACTATTTAAGAGCTTCGCTCTTATTAAAATAATATGACTCAGGCATGGCCTGGAGAGAGCGAAGCTCGTATTGTACATCTGTTTCAATAGTATAATATTATTGAATCATAACATTACCCATTTTAATACGTACAAAATGTACCTGTACTTGTTTTTTTATAATATACTTGAATCTGTTGCTGGGCAAAATCATTCATCCTTGTACTTATGTGTGCTCTGTTTTAGAATGATCCACATTCACACCACACTAATATGACGCATCACATCTTAGTTTGAAGTTGACTGGTTTGTATTATACGGTACTACTCTATAGCTAGACTATATTGATAGTAATAGTATCCTCATTTGGTTCTTGTTTATCCAAGAATAACATTATATACTCTACTCATGGCTGTTCATTAATATGACACAGGCATGGCCTGGAGAGAGCGAAGCTCGTACAAGTGTACTGTACATTTGTTTCAATAGTAATATTGAATCATAACATTATCCATTTTAAAACATACAAAAGTGTACCTGTACTTGTTTTTTTTTTTATAATATACTTGAAAATGTTGCTGGGCAAAATCATTCATCCTTGTACCTATGTGTGCTCTGTTTTAGAATGATCCACATTCACATTACACTAATATGACGCATCACATGTTAGTTTGAAGTTGACTGATTGTACTACAGTACTACTAGACCATATTGATAGTAATAGAATCATCATTTGGTTCTTGTTTTATCCAATAATACCCGTATATACCCCCTCCCTCTACTCATGTATTATTGTATGTTCATAATAATATGTATTATTATTTTTATCCAAAAGAAACAAATGCCATTAAGGTATTTGAAAAAAAACTATATAGTAAACATGGTTATGTGAGTTGTAGGCAGAATGTTTAAACAAATGGTTTGAGCTGATATGCCAATCCATGAAGGATGTATCTGTTTTTAATTTAACTATATTTAGCATGTTAGACACAGCAGGTTAGAGACTGTCACGTCTCCCGCCTCTATAAGTATAAAATGAAGATTTCAGATTTTTTTTTAAAAATAATTCAGATAAACAATGTGAAATGATGAAATTTAATGTTTGTACTGATTATATATGTTAAAAATTCCAGGTATCTACAGCAGGAGATTCCTCCTCTTCGTCGTCGCTGTTGTCATAAAATTTTGTAGATACCTAGAGATAGATTGGCATATCAGCTAAAACCGTTTGTTTGCAAGTGAAGTTTCTGGATGGACACCATCGTATAACTTTGTGTAATCATACTTTGTGATTTTTTTTTGTACGATTTTGACCATATTTTCCTCGATGGGTGATTGATACCCTTATTATGTCATTGTCAAATTTGAGGGTCAAAGATTGTGTGTTGTGTTGTGTTGAATGATGATTGTGTTGATGGCATTGATGTCAGTTTCATGATGGACTTGTTGTTATTGAGTCAATATTGGTGTTAAATGTGGTTGAATAAAAATAATCACCAGGTACATCATATGCGGAATAGTTTTGATTTTGATTAGAAACGGTTGCTGACAGTCGCATATTTATGCAATCTGTTAACAAAAATAAAAGTGATGAAAATATAATGTTTCTAATTCTCTTCTTTACTGATATTCATAAAGCAGAGTAAACTAATGTGTTCACTTCAATGTCTAATCAAAATGCTGTAATGATTTTTACAGTTGAACGGAAGTACAAATTGTCAAGCGTTTAATGTTTATATTTATCTAAGTATCAATAAAGATAGTTTACTGTACAAAACTGTACAGATAATGTTTGTCTTTTTAAGTGATTGTTAATTTGGTTGCATTAGATGAAACTAGATTCAATATATTGTACAAGCAGATCAAGCATTGAAATTCCACAGTTTTAGTTGTAAAATCTTAAGGTAATATCACAAATTTGGATCAAATAAAATATCAAAAGAAACGATCCCCAAATGGAAGAATTTAGAAGAACTGAATATAAAGTTGACGTTCTACAATAAATGCAGAAAAACAAGAGTAGTAATACTGAAAAATCCGCAATTTGACCCTTTGAAAAACCTTACGTTTTCCCTTGGAAAGCTGTCGGTGACAATTCTGTTTCACTGGAGCAGACGACCCGTGAACTTTGATCTCGTCAATGAACCAAGCGACCTCGTCATTGACCCTGCTTCGTACATCCTCGGGTATTTCCGTCCTAGTGGGAATGACCCTCGTGTGTTACGATCGATTATCAATATTTAGATGGAAAATGTGTATGTTAAGAAAGTTGTCAGTATCAAATTATCTATTTCTTTCCAAAATTTAAGCTAATTTAATCGACGGTAATACAGTTTGTCATCAAATCACATTCTTACGCACGCTTCGACGCCATTAGCTTGTGGCATTCATGTAAGCTTTTTAATGACCATGCCAATCATTTCTATTTTTGATACAAAAGGAAAGAAATTGCGAAAATAAACACATCCAGTGTATTAAATATGGTCAATATTTTTTTTTTAATTCGTTGTTTCGAATACATTATTTTCCTGCTGCGTTACATGTCGCTCTATTATTCGATTATGCATATTTACGGGCAACTTGAACCGGAAGAGGTCACCGGAAGTACGAAAAGTTTCTAGGCTGTAGCTGTACGATTCAGTGATGAAATCAGTTTGGTTGGATCAGATCTATTTACACGCACATGTTACCGGTAAAGAGCTCCGCTCGGGTGCCTACGACACCCGA